AGGTAACAATAGGACCACATGGAAGGAGAGGGCACCCTATGCTTATTGGAGAGGAAACCCAAGTGTTGCTGGAACAAGGCAGGACCTTATGAAGTGCAATACCTCTGATAAAAACGATTGGAATACCCACCTCTATATTCAGGTAAATTAATTATTTAATTAGCTGCTGGTCCAATGGAAGAATAGTGGTTGTATTTGCAACTAATATAAAAAAATGATATAATTATAATATTATATGATATTATAATCTTATAATCGTGATGTGTCATTATTTTTTTCTTCAAAAATCATTGTTAATTTGGTCCCTGTAATATGAGTTTACTTTTAGGAAAATGATTTTTATATAATATTTTTGTTTCACATTTTCATACAACTTAACGTGTCATAAAAATAATTGATTTTTTTAAATTCATGTGAGACTCATGAGATTAAATTGATCCACTTATTTAATGACATATGAAAATTATATAAAAAAAGTGAAATAAAAAGATTATCTCTATAATATCACTTTTAGGTTTAGTACATGCCACGCACATTATTTAAAAATAAAAAAATATGATTTTTTTCAGTGACTTCATGTTTCCAGCGATTGACTTATAAGTAAAATAACTGGAAAGGACATTAATCTGTAATTTGTTCGCTCATACGATATTATGAAACAAAGGATAGTGTTATGCAAAATAGGTTATTAATTGTCTTGAAAAACTTAAAGTACTTTAAAACTAAAAAGATGTATAAAAGATTATAAATCTTAAATTAAACACAAATCCTAAAACAATCATCCTAAAACAATACAAAAACAATAAGCGAACAAAGGAAATTCGCAAACAACTACCTGCACAAATCTACAAACCAAGGTTACAACTATGCAGACCATACTGAATTTCAGACATAAATAATTAGAACAATTCCGAATTAACTATGATTAATTAACTTACTTGAAGATTCTACATTTGATACTAAACTGGACCAAAACGCAGACTGGTTTAATTCTAAAACTAATTTAGTTTATGTTCAACCTAAACTAACACTAATCAACCTACTTTAAAATCAAAGTTAAGAAGGTAAATCAAAATTTGAAAATTAATGAGACCTATCAGTAAATGAACCACCGAACAAAACGTCTCCTACAAAACATGAATTTTGCATAAAAGAAATCATGGTGGAAGTAAACAGATAGCCCTTAAATAAAATGCTTAAAGGTGTAAAATCCATCATAAAATCACTAACGAAATAAACAGGAGAGTCCCAAATTACAAGGCCGGTTCACTTCCAAGTTCTACAATGGAAAGTTGCAAAAAATAGCAAAGAACAAGAAATCAACGAACAGAAGTCTGAAATCTATGCAAAGAAACTGCAGATCGATTCAAAGCTAAAATTGATGAGCGCTGGGTGATTTTCGAGAGAGGCAGAAGAAACTGATTTTTCTCCCTTGTTTTCCTTTTCTTCGATGCTGGAGCTGTTGTTCCATGATTTTTGGCCCTCTGCTATATGTCTGATGGCAGTTTTCTCAGGTTTGGCAATTAAACCTATGTTTGGATAAAAATTAGTAAAAGGAAGGGAAGGGGAGAGGAGGGGAAGGAAGGGGAGAAGAAGTGAAGGGAAGAAAAAGATTGATATTAGTTTTATTTAAATAAATAAAAGTGAAGGAGAGGAAAAAGATAATATTTTTATTTAATTAAATAATTTAATAAAAAATAAAATAAAGAAAAATAAAATTTTTAAAATTTATTAATTAAATAAATAGTTAAAATAAAATATTTATA